AAAAAAAATTTTTTTTTAATTGTGTTTTCTTCTTAGCTTTAGGCCTTAAGAATGCCAGTGTGTTCTGGGTAGAGGACAGAGGGGACCCTGTTACTGTGTCAGATGCACAAATATTGGTTAGCAAATAAGTGCTGATTTCATCGTCCAAGAGTCTCAGGGACCAAAAATTTAACACCTCTGGCATATTTGGGAGACCAGGAAGTAGGAAATGAGCATTACACCCCTTTATTTTTCTGCTTCCTTACGGCATCTTGTGTGTTAGATGAGTTGGACTTCTGGAAGTAAAGTATCTGGGGCCTGGCTTCCCAGGCAGGTTTCTTCTCATCTTCTGTCTTCCACAAGGCAGTGCTAATCCGCTTCACATTTTTGGTTTCATTTTCCCAAATCTAAAGAATTTAAAGTTGTTGGGGGACAAGTGTGGAAGCACTCAGTGTACAGAATTGTAAATACTTACAGCATAGAAACTTATTTTTAAACTTAAGAGTTAGCAATATTGTCAGCGATGCGGCTTGATTTCTTTAAACCTACAGTGGATTTTATTTAAAACTGAATATTTAACAGTTTATTGGGTAAGCCCAGAGGCTTGGAATGACACGTCTATGAATTTAGGCCTTGTGCTGTGACACCTTGAAACCCCTTCGCCTTCGTCTGCTATTTTTTAACTTACTGCAACAGATGAGGGGCCCTTAAACCATCTGTTAACCTTTCTTTCTCCTTTTTTTAACCATGTAGAGTCACTCAAGGCAAGAAGACCCAGAGCCAGCAAGGCTGAAACAGAAAGCAAAGGAGGTGAGAGATCATTGAGTTTGACATTTCAAGGCTTGAGCTATTAATTTTTTATGCCCTGCTACTTGTATATCGTTAATAAAAATCTGACGAAAAACTTTTTAGGATGTATTTGTTGCTTTGGCTTTGATCTTAATGTTTGCAAACTAATACATTAATACATGTGAAGCCTTAAGGAGTTTTTCTAAGAGAATATTTCCATACATTATATTTTCATTTCCATTTTAGGTAGCTGGGCCTCTGTGGGGTAGTTGATGGCAGTGGTTTTCGATTTTGGTGGGAAATGTATCGCTTTGCCTGACATTTCACTTCACTGCCCACATCACTTTCCAAGCGCAGGAAACCTTGTCATCAATATTTTACCGAAACCCAATGCTGTTCGAGCCCGCCCTTCAAAGAGGCGTTGTCATTTCAGATTTTTCATTTAAAAAAGATGTGGCACTCCATTCAGCTATTTGCAAAAGTCAAACTAGTCCCCAGTCATCTACTCACAGGGCTTGCTGTCGAGTTATTAAAATTTCACTTGGATTAGACTGTAGAAATCAGCTCAACTGCATGTCATTATCTTTGCTCCCAAAAGTCCTGGTTCCGGACCCTCCCTGTGGCCCGGTGGGTTAAAGCACAGCACTAA